TTTGGAATTGTATATAGAAATTGGCTTGAAATGTAGATATGTGTAACAAATAACCAAAGTTAATTATTATGAGTTAAATTTTGAATTGTATTTTACATATATAAGTTCTGGCCTGTAACATCTAGATAAGCTGGAGCCTACTTGTTTAGTCAGTTGTACCATTTCTTCCAAATTCCACATTCATGTGATCATGGTAGGAGTATTTACAACACAGTGCAAATCATGGCTTCCTCTGGTCCTAAGAGCTGGTTGTTAAACTCTTACTGTGGCATCCTTGAGTGTACCTAATTAATTCTCATTTTAAAGGTCAAAGGATAGCTTTAAGTTTTATTGAAGTTATAAAACTAATGTACAATAGTGATGAAAATCAGAGGCAGTAGAGCCAGATTGTCGTGAGTTCAAATACCAGCTCTGTACTTACTAGTTTGGACTGTGCTAGGCAAATTAGTCAACATTATCTTTAATGGAAACAACAGCAATGCTTGCCTTAAAGGGTTGAGGTAAGAATTAAGTATGTTAAGGACTCAGTTTCTGATCGTATCTGACAACCTCAGTTATCCAGGGTACAGGAAGTAAACTAAACTGTCACTGAGAAACCAATATAAATGTCAGAGGGCACTTCTGTGAAAGCCTTTAAATGCTTTCTGGAAGCCTGTTTTACTAATTCTGTAGACCAAAGCTAGACTTTTTTCTGATCCAACAGTAGATTAGAAGCATAAAGTTAGAAAATAAGGAAGTTGCTACTAGAACCAACAAGTGAGAATCTTCTTCCCTCAAAGAAAATTGCCCAATCTGAGAATTAAAAAATGAGTCAGAGTGGATGATCTGTAAGATCCTTTCAGCTCCAAAAATGTATGACTTCATAATAGTTTGGAGATAAATACGCTTACTGCATTAACTAATAGCTTATAAAGATGATCTGATGTCAGTAATAAATAAGAATACAGATATCCTAGTTAAGGAAATAAGGTAATATTAGATTACATTTTTAAATGTCCATTCAAAATTGTTACTTATTATAGCACTTTATGGGATAAAAACATTTTTGCGTACTATAGAGCTGATAATCAGATTACCTATAAACTTCACATCAGTCCCCTGGAGCAAGAGTTTTATACTCATGAGATCATCTAACATATTAGGGTGGTTTTCTTTCGCAGTGTTTTTTTTTTTTTTTAGAACAGACTGTAGGGCCTATGTGTCCTTTTGAAGCTGTGCTTCACAATAAGAGCTTATCCTAGTATTCTTCTTTTTTCCATCTATGCAACTTAACTACAATCATCCTTTTTTAATAAAGTAAGCCTCACAATAAATAAAACCACAGCAGTATATTTTGTTTTGCTAAATTTCCTTGAAATTTATTTTAAGCATTTTGTCAAAACTTTTAGTTTTTAATATAAATAAAATTTTTGTGGTTGTAATATTTAGGTTATAAATCATTCAAATTGAAGTAAAAAAGTACCAGGACATTGATAATTAAGGCTGTTTAGGAATCTAGGTATTTTTATAAAGGAAATCACTTGTAGATATTTAATCAGTACAAGATATATATTTGTTAGCAGAAAAATTCTGTATTTGTACTCAAATGTATTTTCTGTTAATCTGTGCAATGAATGCTTTGTATAAATCAAATACTTTTGGGCTAGATACATTTTTTTAGAAGATGAACCTAGCCAAGTATACTTGACAACCTAGCCAAGTATACTAGACCAAGTAAAAGATGCAAACTGTGTATTTTAAAACTTAATTGTGTAAAAATTGTTTAAATTAAATATTTGTGTAAAGCTGTTTGTTACTTGTAAATTTTATTTATGTGAAACTTCTAACTTCTTAACAATAGCAGATGAAGAAAGGGATTACTGGGTAATCAAGAGACTTTTTTGCCCTTAAAAGGTTCTTAATTTGGAAATGCATTAAAGCATGCCTTTTGAGATACAATGCAAAATGAAGTACTAGATAGAGCTTAAAAACGAAGTGACAACTAAACAAAGACAGAACATTTACTTTCTCACTTGGAATTTAGAAATACTATCTGGGGGCAACATTTGAATTGGTGCTTGAGTTACAAATATGTAGACATGTAGGAGAGAAAGGACTGTTACAGAAGATAGAGGACACTTTAGGAACTGAGTGGGAAGCAGGAACAAAGAGAGTTATGAAAAGTGAATGGCAACAGGCTGTCCCATATGACTGTATCTGAATATTGATGAGGCTTGAATGTAGCAGAGAGATTTAAAACTGGAAAAATCAGTTGAGACAGGATCACATAAGGCTTCACAAAAGAAGTCAGGGAGTCAGGATTTAATGAGTAATAAAGAATTACTAAAGGCTTCAAAGCAAGGAAGAGGCATGATTCAAACAAGTAATGGCAAGAGTCAAACAAGGAAGATAAACTTACATGAAACTTAAGGAGAGAGATAATACTGGATGGAAGGCAACAAGTTAGGAAATTAGTGAGCTAGTAGAGACAAGGAAATTGTGACGACCTGTACTAAGACGGTAGAGAGAGATAAAAAGATCTCATCATGATAGACACAAAGAAAACAAGCAGGCAGTACGTGACTAAGTAGGTGTGCACTTAGATTCAAACATAATTCTGTGGTTACTGAAACAGATGACCAGAAAGATTGTGATACCATTAAATGTGATTGGGATCACTGGAGAAGGAATAAGTTTGAGATAACTGCAAGGGTATAGGGAGAAGAAGGTATAACCTAATGTTTAGAAATGTCTCTTATGTATAAATCATCTAATTCAAGAGAATTTTTAATGTAATGATAATATATAGTGTATATGAACATGGATTATGAGGACTGAAACACAGCATTGTTCTTGATATGCAGATAATGTGCATTTCTTGACTATCTTTTTAAAAATCTCCATCAGACCACAATGGCCAGTATGTTCCAGAGCATTCACACTAGCCACTAACCTCATATCTTCTTAAAAAATAATTTATTTTTATTAGCTAAAATACCTATTAAAAGTTTACATCTTTAATTTAAAGAGAAATCTTTGTAATTAAACTATATTCCAAAGCTTGAATTTTTAAGAATTATCTATGCTTTCAAAGATTATGTAGGCTATAAGATCAAAAATAAATACCACTGTTAGAAATTTAAATCCCACAGAAAAATAGAAAAAGAGTCACTCTCTTGGGGGCTGGGGAGATAGCTCAGTAGAATAAGTGCTTGCCTGGCAAGTGCAAGGACCTGAGTTCAATCCCAGATTCTGAAAGAAAAAAAAGAGTCACTCTCTTGAAAAACTACCACTTCTCCAGAAGATACTGGCTTAAAAATTAACTTATCTTCATATTGGAAAAAAATATACCAGAAATTATCTACATTTCAGGTTCCTACATTTCAGATTCCTTCACTCCCCATTTCACTGAGATTTTCCCCTATGTAAATGAGAACAGAGTGAGTCATTAATCTGTTTCAGATGGAGTATTTACACATTAGTCAGTAGTGTTATAAAAGAGTTTAACTAAATGGCTTTTGTAATATAAAATAGTATTTTTTGGAACTTTAAGAATCTGAAATGATCCTCTTGTAATATATTTTTCAAATAATAATTTCAGATAAGAAGAGGAACAAAACTAATGTACTGTGAGGTATTTTTATTTGGTCTGATCTTTTGAAGACTTTAGTACTAAGAACTTTAAATTTAAGAAGTTACTTGGGGGGCTGGGGAGATGGCTCAGTGGTCTAAAGCACCTACTTAGAACAAGCTTAGCAAAGCACAGGGACTGCGGTTCAATCCCCAAGCACCACATGCCAGCCAGCCCCGCCCCCTGGTGGGCTGAGATGGCCACACACACACACACACACACACACACACACACATAAATAAAAAAAAATTTTTTAAAAAGAAGTTACTTGGGTAATATACAATGTACCTTTCCAGTTAAGATTTGTACTCTAAACTTGATCATTAAAGTGTGAATACTATTTTAATATTGTACCTTTGTGTTTAAATTGTAGTCTAAAGGTCTTTTTACAGTCTTGTTTGTGCATGTTTGTTTATTTCAAATTGGAGTTTGATCATTAACCTAGAGGAGTACCTTACCTAATAGCAGCAGGAGGTTTCTCTGGTGAGCAATATTTTAATATTCAAAGAACTCCATTCTTTTACTAAGATTATTGATCTTAGGTCACATAAACTAGAAAGAATCTAAACTTTGATAAGCATTGGAATAGAATTCTCGGAATATTGGAAAAGATGTTTGTCTTATTCTCCCCCCAACCAAAAAAAAAATCTGTATTTGAGAATAGAAAGAGGGCTAATTGATTTAAGACTTGCCCTTAATTAGTTCTGAGTAAGAAGACACATTTATACCCATTCTATGTTATTTGCCTTTATAACCTATCAGGTCCATGTAATACATTAGAGTATCTTGGACAAATTTTATGTTGTATTTCAGGACACAGAAATATGGTACAACACGGATATATGGTCACCTTATAAGTATGAAAGTGTATAGAATAGATGTTTTTGTATTTTGCAAATCTTAGATTTCTTAGAATGTAAGTCCTATTTTCTACCAGCTAGGGACTGTTTGTTACTAAGCAAGCCTTCATTTAAGACTCAAATTGAGGGGCCGGGGAGATGGCTGAGTAGGATAAGCGCTTGACTGGCAAACACAAGGATCTGAGTTCAATTCCTGGATTCCCCCCCAAAAAAAAAAGACTCAAATTGGGCCATAAAAGCAATTAATCAGTTGCATTATAGTCAATTAGTCTGAAGATGGGGCAAGTATCTGTTGTATATAATAATATCCTTAATGACCTATGAACTCTTTAGGATTAGTAACAGAGTCTAAATGTTTGTATCCCCTACAAATTACTTATACATCCGGTGCTCAATATGTGTTAATACAAAATAAATGTTAATAAATGAATATCAATCTTTTGTCTTGCTGGATCTCATTTTAAATCATTTTAGCAATTAAATTTTTATGTTAAAAATATCTCATTCAAACAATTTATTTTCTTTTCCAGGTGCAGGAGACATTGTTGCAATCATGATTGGCAATCTTAAAGGAACAAAAATTCTGCAATCTATTCAAAGAGGCATACAAGTAACAATGGTCATCGAAGTAGGGAAAAAACATGGCCCATGGGTGAATCACTATTCAATTTTCTTTGTTTCCGTATCCTTTTTTATTATTACGGCAGCAACTGTGGGATATTTTATCTTTTACTCAGCTCGAAGATTACGGAATGCAAGGGCTCAAAGCAGGAAGCAGGTTAGTAATACTCCTTTCTTCTAATTTATAATATTTTTACTCTTTTAATGATAATTTTCACATATTTTAATATACTTCAGTTGCTAGGCAATGATTTATTCATGTTTGGTCAAATCTAAAAGTTTTTTAAAAGTATGTTAGCTTCCATCTTTTCAAATCTTCTATGTATTATAATTTGTCCTGCTTAGCAAAATCTTTAACATGTTGATAGTGAGTACAGCCAACATTTAATTATATCAAGCAACTTTTTCAGACATTCCTTTCATTATTATTTTTTTTCTTGGCGGAACCGGGGATTGAACTCAGGCCCTTGTGCTTGCCAGGGAAGCGCTTAATCCACTGAGCCATCGCCCCGGCCCCCTAACATTTAATTATAACTTGTACAAATACATATGTTCTCTTAAATAAACATGTCTCTAAATTATAAAAGCATTTTATACTCAATAAAAAATTTCAGAAAGTAGAGGAAAACCCTTTCATAAAACCAAATATAACAAAATAACTGTAGTCACTGCCCAAATGTAAGGCACTCTTTTTTTTATATGTATATTTGCATATGAAAGTGAAACAGAGAAAAGATATTAGACTGAATTTCATGAGAAAACAGGTTTAAAGATCTAGTTGTGATAGTTAAGATAGTTATGTAGGTAGTTTCTCTTGGTTCATTGAAAAGAAAGATTTGTGCTAGTATTGTTTAAATAAGAAATCATGCCTATATTTTGTACTCTGAATAACCACTATGAAGACAACAATAGGGGCTGGTGAGATGGCTCAGTGGTCTAAAGCACCTACTTAGAACAAGCTAAGCCAAGCAAAGCACAGGGACCGCGGTTCAATACCCCAGCACCACATGCCAGCCAGCCCTGCCCCCTGGTGGGCTGAACTGGCCACACACACACACATAAATAACTAAAATTGAAGTCAACAATATACAGTATATTAATTATTGTCTCTCCTACTAACTTGTTTTGAAACTCTGTTCTATTGTTAGTTTTTCTCTTTAAAATAAAAATGATCTCCTTGTTCTTGATATAATGCTAAGCTCTAAACCAAGTTACATACTCGTATTTTTTACCATATTGTTATATCAATTTATAAAATGATACAAAATATAGAAAGAAGAAAACAAAAATATCAAAGAATTATTAAAAAGCAAAATTCCTGTAAGTCTGTGTCATTGATCTTCTTACCAACAAAATGTCCCTCACTCCCTTCGTTCCTTTTCTTTAATTCACCTAAAATTTTGGAGCCACATCTGTGCATACATTTTCTGTCCCCTTTGTCCCTCTTTTTGTTATATAGCTTTCCCTTTGGCATCCATGGGTGATTGATTTCAAGACCTTCCCATAGGTACAAAATATGCAGATGTGCAAGTACCTCATAATATGGGGTAGTATTTTATTAGAACCTATGCATATTTTTTTCTTTCACCTCTGATTTTATTTTATTTTCAAAATTTTATTGATAAACAGATAGCAATGAGACAGTTTCAAATCAAATCGAAAGTACAGTTTCAACAAATAATACACTGCATATATTCTTCTTAGTGGTTAATTGCTGTACAAGATGCGGACTTGGGATCCTATTTACAAACACCATTAGAACAAATCATTCTATTCATTAAGAGAATGCAACTATATATCTATCCTAACCACTTTGAATACACAGATAC